GTCCTTCTTTTGAACAGTTTTCCACATAATCGCAGAAACCTTTTCGTTCATTGAACACAAGTGTGTTTGGACATCTCTGCAAAAGTTCTAGTAGAGACAAAAATCGCTTACTGCAGGCCTTGCAATTTGAAGTACAATATTACCATGATAGTCGCACTCCCTCCGCTGCAGAATAGGAACTCTGCCGAGCAGCCGTTAGAATAATACCCGTCTTTCTTGCCAGCACAGTTCACACTAAGAAAAAAACTTGAACTCTGAGCCATTATCACGAGAGTTAAGCAATATAACGTACGAGAAGGTCGTTGTAGGATGCACATGCTGAACGGTTTCTTTTACCACGGAGGCAGCTGATGGTGGACTTGGAGGCACAGGGACTGGTGCTAAGATAGGCGGCACTATATGTGCGCAGTTTTCTACGTAGTCACAGTGACCCTTCTTTTCATCGAACACTAAGGTAGGTGGGCACTTCTGAAGACAAACTTTAGCGTTCTACAACGTGGCAGTGTTTTCTTCTAAATTCACCATAGTTGTCGCTGTCCCTTTGCTGCATAACACGAATTCCGAAGTGCAACCGTTTGAGTAGTAACCATCTTTCTTCCCTGCGCAGTTCACCTGCCTGAAGCAGCATAAAGATATACCACATATCTCACTTGCAGAAGACAGCATACGAAGAGGCAGATGATGCAGCAGGAGAAGGAGCCGGAGGAGGTAAGAAAGATGTTGAAGTATCTTTGGCTGATGCTGGAACCTCCACTGAGCAGTTCTCTACGTAGTCGCAATGCCCCTTCGCCGCATTGAACACCAACGAGGGTGGGCAATTCTGTAAATCTCCTCTTCTAGAGCTTCTTATAGCCTCAGTTTGCGGACTCACCATGGGTGTCGCTAACCCTTCATTACAGAAATAGAATATGGGAGAACATCCACTTGAATAGAAGCCGTCCGTTTTTCCTTTGCAATCGAACATTCTGTATAAGTTTTTTGAAAGGTGAAAAAAAAACAGTACTTTCTTCACCAAACCATTCAAAAGGGGCTCACGATAGCAAGCAACTTGAGCTAAAAACTTTCGCTGTAAACTTGTGTAATCTCAGCAAGAGGGAACATCAGCGAATTTAGTGGTATCTTCCGAATGAAAAGAATTATAGAAATCAAAGTGGATACATACTTCTGCTGAGATACGGGAGCCGATGCATCAGAAACAAGTGGTGGTACGAGGGGCTGCTGCGATACAGTAGAAGAGATCGCTTCTGGTGGTGGTTGCGCCTCCACTTTTACGAGACAGGCCTCGATATAATCACATCTTCCCTTTTGCGCATTGTAGACTAATGTAGGTGGACAACTCTGGAGAACAAAAACGAACTGAGATCAAATTCATAAAGCGCTCCTATTTTACCATTGAGGTTGCCATGCCTCCAGAGCAGAAGACAAAATTAGGTGTGCACCCACTGGAATAGTATCCGTCCTTCTTCCCG